ACTGTCTCAGCATTGGTAGATGGTATAACTCGGCACCGTCCTGCAAGGAGATGTGGATAATTCCGTCACATCCAGGTAAAGTTCAGGTGTCAGGCACAGCAGTGGGACATGGAAGTTCACAGGCAGTTACAATTACCCAGCAATTTGTAAAATTAGAGCTTTTTGTCTTAAAATAGTTTAAGACTCAAAAAAAGTTTAAAAAATAGTATGGTGAATTCTATGTCCCCTTTCCTTGGCTTTCCACCAATAATACCTTAGGAAGTTATAGGAAAATGATGTGGGTACAAGTCTACTGGTTCAAGAATAGGCTTGAATTATGACATATTCCAGACATTGTTTAAACTGTGAATAAGAAGATTCTGATTCACATCAGTAGGTTTACATGCACTCTTTTCTTCTTGTCTAATTTACCTGTAAGAACTACTATTTGAAGCCAGGCACACACTTGTAATCCCAGCTCTGGAAAAACTGAGACAGAAGGGTGGTCGGTTTGAGCTAGCCGGGCTAACACAGTGAGAGTGCATCTTTTTTTCCTTTTTTTTTTTTTTTGCCGGTACTGGGACTGGAACTCAGGACTTCATGCTCATTTGGCTTTTTTTTTTTTTTTTTTGCTCAAAGCTAGTACTCTGCCATGAAGCCAGGCCTCCGTTTCCTGAGATGATATATTAAAAAGGAAGGGCAGGGGAAGAAGTAGCATTTGTCAAGTTTTTGTGTTGTCAAAACTGAGTATCTGGCTGGTGCTGGTGGCTTATACCTATAATGCTAGCTTTTCAGGAGGCTGGGTCTTGGAAGCTCATGATGGAGCCATCCCAGGCAGAAGAGTCCTTGGGCCTCTATCTCCAGGATCACAAGCAGAATGGTTAGTGGTGAGGCTCATCTGGTAGCAAGACAGTGGAACAAGTGCCCCGAGTTCAAACCTTGGTCAGTACAGGGTTGAAAACACAACAAAAACATTCTGTAACACTCACATGGTCAGAGGATAAAAAAAAAACAAAACAGAATAGTAGAGCTCCAGGTACCTGTCCAAAGTATTAACGGCTATCTTTGTGATCTTGGGAGGGATTTTTGTTGTTGTTGTTTTTTTGGGTCCGGTCATGGGGCCTGAACTCTGGGCCTGGGCACTGTCCCTCAGCTCTTCAGCTCAAGGCTAGCGCTCTACTACTTGAGCCACAGCGCCACTTCTGGCTTTTTTCTTTTTGCTTATGTGGTGCTGAGGAATAACCCAGGGCCTCATGCATGCAAGGCATGCGCTTTACCACCGAGCCACCTTCCCAGCCCTTGGGAGGGATTTTTGATTGATAGAGAATAACAGCCAGAGGTTTTGAGGGTTTTTTTTTTTTTTCAGGTAAGGGGTAGGTTTATTCATCGTTCTGGCTGGTACCAGGCCATGTTGGCCTTTCACACGGCTGGGAAAGACCTGGGAAAGAGCTGGGAAAGAGGTGGGAAAGAGCTGGGAAAGAGCTAGAAAAAAAGCGTCTGGACCTGGGCTAGGCCTTATCTAGGGTATGGGCGGAGAAAGGTGTGGCCACATCAAATTCAGATGTGACCTCAGCAGATACAGATGTGACCTCTTCCAGGTGTGCCAGTTGTCTAGATAACGCAGGTACTAGGTGGAGACTTTGCTGCGAGGAGGGTGAAGTCTGCTCGCCATCCAGGAGCAGACCTTACATTCTAGCCTTTTAATAATCATGAAATAGGGTGCGGATTCTCTCTGGCTACTTCCTGCTGACAAGGGGCGTCGACAATAGGGGCAAAAGGCTGGAATTTGGTCCTCTCCCAGAGAAGGCAGCAGGCAGCAGCTGTCTCTTGGTGGCATGAGTCCTTAGATGAATTCTAGAGGAGGCAAGTCTCTTGAAGTCTGGAGAAGTCTCATGAGGCATTGAGGGGCTGAAAAAAAATTCTAGAGAGCAAATAAATGGCAAGAGGAAAGACTTGGGGCTGAATATGTTGGTAGAAATGTCCCTAGCTACCTCTGACATCTGGCAACTAGGTAGAGAAGTCAGGTGACAAAGGCAAGAATATAAATTCCTGTTCAGTTAATTAATAGGTAGACAGGTATAGACACTGGATGGGCAGGCTTCTTCTACTGACCTCCCAGCTCTGGTTAATTTTGAAAGGGCAGGCACAGAGTAGCTGATATGACATCATCTCCTCTTACTCCTCTGCATGTTCCCTTGTTCCCCAGACTGGCTGGGTTGCTGGGATGGCTTGTCCCAGTTGGTATTCAAAGAGGATTGAACTCAAGGCCTGGGCACTGTCCCTGAGTACTTCTGCTCAAGGTCAGCACTGAACCACTTTGAGTTATAGTACCACTTGCAGTGTTTGCTGGTTCAAGATAAGAGTCTTGAGCCATGGTTCCAGCCTGGCTCTTTGCAGGTTAGTTGGGAGATGGAGTCTTAGGGATTTTTCAGCCCGGGCTGGCTTTGAACTGCAATCTTTGCCACAACAGCCCTTTATTATTTCCAATGAAAGCAACAAGGAGATCAAATAGAATAGAGCTTACCTGGTCCTTATCAAGAATTGACCAACAAATATTCTGCAATGACAAAACTTGTTAGATGTGATGAGAATTTTAGCACCACGTAGTCAGTAGTAGAATACACAACATAAAATAAAAAAGGCAAAACTCAAAACCTAACATTTTGGACAACAATGTTAGACATCTTTGCTAACAAAGCAAAGCACATCAGATTGTTGGGCCTCATTTACCAGGGACTGTGAAAAGAGCAACTTGTTAGCAAGGCACCTTAGAATAGATGGAGTAGTTAGCTTGGTGTAAGGTTAAGAGTCAGATGGGGCCAAACCCTTAACCCAGCATGTGGTCAAGATGGCAAATTCAAGATGGTGAATTTCTGAAAGAATGCAAAGAAACCTTGAAAAAATAGATAAGCCTACATTGGCTAGCCTTTGAGAGGGAACCTAGAGGAGGGTCCCCGGGACCCATCCTGCGTCACACTCTTCAGGGCACAAGCCAAAATGTTGTAGAAAAGAGAAAGGGAAAGAGGGAAAGTTGGACATGAATGGCAGAGAGAGAGCAAAGAGAGCCTGAAAGTAAACAGACTTCTGACCATTTACCATTGCAGTAGCAAAAACTGTGTACTTCTGAGAATGGCATAAAATTAGGCTCTCTGGCTTTCCAGGGAGCGCAGGAGGCATTTCAAAGGGGTTTCATGGCTCAGGCGTGACTCGCATCACCCCATTAAATGAGTAGGAGAGTCAGTCTGGTGAGTGAAGGAGAGCTGACCAGGCAGAAGCGGCGTCCCGACTTCCCCCAGAGCCCTCTAGAGAGAAATGGCCAAGCCCCCCAAACCAAGTGTCCTCGGCTTCAGAGGTGACCGGCCTATCAGCTAAAGGCCGTAGGAGCTCTCTGGCATGGCGCCACGTCTGGACAGAGACTGAGCAACAGAGAACCATAGAGAGTAGTTTCACTCACCAGAGTAGAGAGGTGGTGTGGGTGTGGATGTGAAGGCCAGCAATGGTATTGATGCGCTGTGTCCGCAGCAGACAGATGGGTTCGCAAACGGCCGTCAGAACTGTGGGTATTCCTCAGAGCAAAAAGGGAAAAACAAACAAAAGAAGAAAAAAACCGGAGAGGAATCCCAGCTATCCTGACTTTAAGCCCTTTATCCGAGTCATGGCACCATTTATGTTAGGTTTTCAAAAAGAGGTAGCTGAGTAAAAACCACAGCACGCACGTGGTATTCAGGTAAGGGGTAGGCTTATTCATCGTTCTGGCTGGCACAGGCCATGTTGGTCCTCCATGCGGCTGGGAAAGACCTGGGAAAGAGCTGCGAAAGAGAGCGAGCTGGGAAAGAGGTGGGAGAGTGAGAAAAGAGCTAGGAAAAGCGGTTTTGAGGTTTATGTGCATGGTTTAGGAACCTCTTCCTTAACCCTTAGACCAGTCCTGTGGTGGGCCCAGGTGTTATTTCCATCTTACACACCTGCCTGACTCTTGAGCGCTAGGATTGTAGATGTGAAGTACCATACCTGGCAACTTCTTATTTTTTGGTGGTATTGAGAACTAAATTCAGGATCTCAAGCATTCTATCATTTGAACAACATCCCAAGCCCAGATTACTGGGCCTGGGCGCTGTCCCTCAGCTCTTCAGCTCCAGGCAAGTGCTCTTCCACTTGAGCCACAGCACCACTTCGTTTTCTGGTGGTTAGTTGGAGATAAGAGTTTCATGGACTTACTTTTCTGCCCGGGCTGGATTTGAACCATGATCCTCAGATCTCAGCCTCCTGAGTAGCTAGGATTGTAGGCGGGAGCCAGTGGTGCCCGGTCTCCAGATTCTTTTCTTCTTCTTCTTCCTGTGTGTGTGTATGCTAGTCCTGGAGCCTGAATTCAGGGCCTGGGCATGGTCCCTGACCTTTTTATTTTTTTTAAATTTTTCCACAAGGCTCTTACCACCTGAGCCACAGCTCTACTTCTGGCTTTTTGGTAATTAATTAGATAACATTCTCACAGACGTTCCTGCCTGGTCTGGCTTCAAACCACAATCCTAGGATCTCAACCTCCTGAGTTTCTAGGATTATAAGCTGGAGCCACTGGCATCTGGCCACATCCAATTTTTTGCTGGTTAAGTGGAAGTAAGAGTCTCAAGGAATTTTCTGCCTGGGCAGGATCTGAACCATGATCTTCAGATCTCAGCCTCCTGAGTCGTTAACATTACAGGTGTGAGCCACCAGGAATGGGCTAAATGAATGCTTTTAAAAAAATGCTTTTTAACTTCCATTTCCAATGCCATCAGTATTTCTAGACAAAATCCATGTTAAACTGAAGTGCCTTGGGCTCTCAGTGCTATGTAGGGGCTGAGCTCTAGGAGCTACAGATCCTGGTAGTAGATGTGCTTCCTCCACAGGCTCCTGGCCTCTTGGGAGAGTCATACGTACCAGTACAAAGGCCAGAATCCTAAACACACAGATTCATAATTTATCTTGAGGAAATTAAAAGTCCAGAAGTTTCTGGAATGATTGGCAACACAGAAAATATGATATAGTATATTTTAAAGTAATCTTTTATTAAACCGCTTACTATTTAATTTAAATTTCAGTGCAACTGAATCTCTTCATCAACTTCATAGGCTTCACTTTTTTTTTTTTCCTTGCAGAACTTGACATGGCAGACTTTTCTTTCTCTTCTTTTCAGGTCATAGACTGGGACTTGAACGCCTTACCAGACATTCTTGCTCACTGGCTAGGGCTCTACCAACTGAGCCATGTTTTCAACCCAGGGGCAGATTTTTCAATACTCAAATCCATGACCCAAACAGGAACTGTAAAAGCACATCAGCTAAGGGTGTCTGTCTTCATGTACATCCTTGTGTGGCCCGTCTGGTCCATGGCCGTGAACAGAGCACAGAGAGCAGCTGTAATGAGCAGATGCATCCCCTCATAGAGAAGCTTTGGAGAAAAGACACTCCATATGAATAAGTGGTAGCGCAGGGCTGTCACAAGAATGATATATGTGGCAACTGGAACAGAACAAATCAGTGCATAGCAGAAGCATGCACAACGTAGTGCTGAGCCACTGTGAATAAAGCAGAAAACATGCATCAGTACATACAACAAACATACGTATCGCCAGTACTTTTACTTTGAAAATGATTATGGCACTATGGCTTCTGTATCACAGAAGTTGGGTAGGGCAGCAGACACCTGTAAACCTGGCTAAAGGGAGAAAAACAGGAAGTTTGAGCCTACTTTGGGAAACTCAATGAGACCCTGTCATTTTCTAAAAAGGGCTGGGAAAAGCAGCTCTGTGGCAGAGCACTTGCCTAGCATGTGTGAGATCCTGGGTTTAATCCCCAGTTCTACAAATAAATAAAAAAGAAGAAAAAATATTCTAAAATAGAGGAATAGGGCTGGGAATGTGGCTTAGTGGTAGGGTGCTTGCCTACCATGCATGAAGCCCTGGGTTCAATTTCTTAGTACCATATACACAGAAAAAGCCAGAAGTGGCTCCAGTGGTAGAGCACTAGGCCTAAGCAAAAGCAGCTCAGGGACAGTGCCCAGGCCCTGAGTTCAAGCCCCAGGACTGGCAAAAATAAATGAATAAATTACAGGAATACTCTTTAATTAGCAAAACACCACATAATGCTGTCAACTAATTGGGTAACGTGAGAGCTGCCTGGAGAACAGAACTGGTACAGTCCCTGCTGAACACACCTCTGTCATGGAGGAATAGTAAAGAGGCAATGAGCAGACAGTGGGATGCTGCAGAAGCCTAGGCAAGGAGCACTGACGCAAGCTGGGCAGGCCTGGAAAGCTCTATCTGTTGAGGGTCCCGAGAGAGGTGAGCTCATGAGCAAACCCGGTCCTGGGAAGGGTCCTCAGGCCCAAGACCGACGAGGTTAGGGGATGACGCTCACGTGTTCCTGAGCGTCTGACACCTCATCTCTGCACTCAGCTGTTAGCCTCCTGCGGACAGATGGCAGCCCCAGCGGCTCACAGTGACTCAGAACCTGCATGGCCAACAGCTCCTTTTAGGGCCTGTCCCTGTATCTCCACTAGGGTTTCTGGAAGCCAAACATGAGTATCTTTTATCTTCTTGTACCGAGGGGAAAAACTATGCTGACCCCCTCTTCTCTGTGATTATGCCTCTACTTTTCCTAACCTTAATCACAGGAAAACTTCAGCGGGAAGTATAGTACAGTTCTTCTTGTGTGGTTTGAACTTGGTCCTGAATCTGGCACACAAAGCCCCTCAGATGAGACTTATGCCTTTGAGCCATAAGGTGTTGCACTTGGTGGGCAAGCGCTTTGCCACTGAGCTACATACCAGCCCTAAACCGTGCTTCTTACGTAAGGAAAAGACAAGCAGTGATCTTTGGAGTTCAGATACTCTATCTATAATAAGGTACTTTTCATTCATTCATTTATTTATTTTTAAATCAGTTGTAGAGCTTGAACTTACGATCTGGATGTTGTCCCTGAGGTCTCTTGCTCAGGACTAGAACTTTACCATTTTGAGACACAACTCCACTTCCAGTTTTCTGGTGGGTAATTGGACTTTCCTGCCTGGGCTGGCTTTGAGCTGTGATCCTCAGATCTCAGCTCCCTGAGTGGCTAGGATTACAGGTGTGAACCATCAGTGCCTGTAAAGGTACTCTTTAAATCAGTCACCCTGCCATCAGATTTGTGGTAAAAGACAAAGATGTGTCACCTGCTTGTCGCTGAGCTCAGGAAGTGTGCTAAGTGGCTGGCCCATAGCACAGGTCCCACGTATGTCCCAAACACGGTCAGGAGCGTGGCTGGAACTTCCATGTAGGCGTCTAAGCCCACGAAGCCTGCTGAGACGTCAATGGTGGCGATGTTGTTAGAGTTACCCTGGAACACAGGAGCCACCATATCAGTGTAAAGACTCACAAGAGCCGCATGACTGTGACGCTGTGAACCCATGGTCCGAGGCAGGCACTGGGCTTTTCCTTCCTGTCACTGGGTTAGCCCTGGATCAATCACCTACCTGACTGCTGTGTCTCTCTAGGCAAAGAAGGTGAGAGAAGTGGCCTGCAGAAAAGCGCCCCTCTGCCAGTCTGATGACTGACTGTGGCATCTCACACTTTCAGGCCAGAACCCTCTCTCACGTCTTTCCTTGAGGACCTCTGCCTGAGTATGGTTCAGAGGGCTCCGGGAGACACTGCCATATGGTCTAGACAAGGGGAACGGACAATGGCTGGCCACATAGCAAGTCCCATGGATGCTGCTGTGAGTTACATGGTTGAAGATGGTCATAGTTTGGCAACTGCTCACTGAGGACTGACTTTCTACTGATATTGAGAGACTGACTGGTCACAACCAAACCTGGCCAGTGAAGTGAATGTGTGAGAGAAGGGTTGATGCCACACCATTTACCTGTGCTGTGTGGTGGTATTTTGGATTGGAGAAAATGATCTTTGCAGATTCAGTCCACTGATTCTGGTTTGTCAGCTGCACATGCAAACTTTACTCTGATGCTTATGGGCCACTTACACTCTGACACTCTGATGGCACTTGAGGCTACCCCAGGCTCAGCACAGGCCTTTCTGGGAACCGCTTACACAGGCTTGGCTGAGCTCTGCAAGCCCCACAGAAGTCAGCCCTATGGGGTCAGGAAGATATGACACCTACAATGCCTCCTCTCTATAAACCTCTCTCTCTCTTGCATCCTTGAATTCACACTCAGCTCTACCTTAGGCTTACCCTAGCATTACCCTGAAATGGCTATGCTCAGGACCTTCAGAGGTGAGATGGTAGAGGGGCCATCAGAGTAAGGGAGGGCAAGGTGCAGGGATAGGGGGCCTGGTGCGGATGGAAGTAGATGTGGCTCCTGGAGCTTGATGGCAGCCCCCAAATAATATAGACCAGTAAAGAGGGGACCATGTGGCTAGCAGTGGGTAACATGTGATGCACAGTCACACTAACATCATCTTCAACTGTGCTAACATGGTACACTATCACTGTACAGACCAGAGACTTAGTGCATGAGGAGGCCAGCAACCAGAGTGGAGCGTCCATGCCCAATCTCCATGTTGTTGAGGAAATTCAGCACTGAAGGCAGAATCCAGTGGCAGCAAGGCTACAGATCTTCCCTCAGGGAGGGACGGTGAAGGGAAAGGGACTCAACCTGAGGAAAGGGGCCTTTGGGAGCTGAAGGCTTGGGGGAGAGAGAATGGGGTGAAATGGGGTTGACTACTGAGCTTGCAGAGCTCAGCCAAACCTTGTGTAAATGGTTCCCAGAAAGAGAGACTCACAGCTCATTTGTATGAGACCCAAGTCTTTGCTGAGTTGGTGTCTGTCTGATCCCTGGCACCTAGATGGGCGCCCACTACAGCGACCGGCCATTGCCTGCAGGTGCACAGTAATGCAAGTATGACCACATACTGATCTGCACTTTAAACACTGTGGAAATGGGACCGTTCCTTGTGGCAAAGCAAACTCTAAGTGTCAAAACAGCTTAGTGGCAGGGTCAGGCTAAGCCAGGCTTCTGACCCTACCACAGCCCAGGAGAAGGGCTATATACCATCCCCAGTTTACAAAAAGGAAACTAAAGCATAGCAAGCACTTGTCAAAGACCATCTGGTGGAAAGTGCTGGGTGCCAGAGTTCAGGCTGGTAGCCACTTACATCCTAATGATGCTTGTGTGATTCTACCTTCCACAGATTACTAATAATCTATGGGGGCTGAGCTGGTCCAGAGGGAGACCAGGGTGGAGACAGTGGGGAAGGCCAGGGGAGCCTCAACAGGCTGAGCCCAGGGCTACATCAGTCTGGTCATGCCATTCAAGGACTTAGATATTTCATTTTTTCTTTTGTGCTGGTGCTGGGGCTTGAACTCAGGGCCTAGGCACTGTCCCTGAACTTCTTTTGTTCAACACTAGCACTGTGGTACTTGAGCCAGAGCTCTACTTCTGGCTTCTTTTGGTAGTTTGGTGGCGATATAAAGTCCCACAGACTTTCCTGCCATGCCTGGCTTCAAACTGCAATCCTCAGATGTTAAGTCTCCTGAGCAGCTAGGATTACAGGCAAGAGCCACCAGCAGTCAGCAGGACTTACATGTTTCTTGAATTTCACCTACCACCATTTGGCTTTGGGATCAGAAGCACAGACAAGGTAAGCCACATAATTACAGCTGTTCCAAGGGCAAGACTAGGCTCACAGAAACCTAACCGTGAAAAGGCTACTCTCTTCACCGTAGCCACAAAAGAACGCAGGACCGGACAGGTGGAGAAGCTGGTACACATGGATAAGCACTCCCAAAGTTGGTAGATACTCAGCAGAGAGTCCAGCTGAGGGGTTCTATGCAGAGTTTCATTCTCTCTGGGGATAGTGGGAAGAACTAGGTTACTCCCAGACCTACCACCTATCCACCATAAGGTTTCCAGGCTGTTTTCAATGAGTTTTTAAACACCAGAGAGAAGAGTGGCAAGTCCTTTAGGCCCTGGGGAACTAACAGCCACACAGGGACATCAGACAGTGGAGACAGCATAAAGAATGGCACAAAGGTATAAGGGAGCAAACTCTTACTACATTCATAAAGTACATGGAATCCTTGAAGCATTTCCTTAATTACATGTAATAAAGCAATCTTCATCTCACTCTGCAATGCAACAATCCATCGTCTCACACACCTATCCATCCATACTGAGAATGTCTTTCTCTAATGACTGTACTTTATCTTGTTAAATACCCATGAGATTTAAGCATAATTCATGCTAACTGACAATTCTTTCACTGAGCAAATTCGACTTTCTAACTTATAAAATTGTCTCAAAGAAATACTACAAGGTAAGTGACTTGAAAAGCTAACAGTCTTCTACCCATGGTAATAATGAAAACCTACCTGGAAGTAGAAGAATGCTTGACCGAACCAATAATGCATAACAGTGACCTCGGCTGCATCGTGTTTCAGGGGCTTCCAGATGAACTTAGTCATTAGAGTCTGAATCAAGAGACTAAATGCTAACACCGGAAGATTATGTGGCCTCAAGAGCAAAGCTGCCAGAAGAACTAATCCACTATATATCTCCCATAAGCCTATAGTCTTGATTTTGAAGTCTGCAGCAATGACTTGAGACTTAAGCAAGTCTTTGGTACCCGTGAACAGAATGCCAAGGACAAAGACATAAACAAAACGAGCTTCAATAATACCCCTAAAAAAAAAGCAAAACAAGTTAGATTCATATGCACCATCTAGAAAAATAGAAATACATAACTTTCCCATTTAAAGCGTGTATTTAATTAGGGAGGGGCCAAGTGAGCCCCAGCGCCCTCCTGTAGACAGCTAGCACCACGGAAGGCGGCATGCCAACTCCTCACCTGTGCCTTGGAGGAGCGCCCTGCCAGGACCACAGGCGTGTCCTTGAGTGCACTTTCCTGATGGAGCTGTCTTTGAAGAAACCTTGCTGATGCAGACAACATATCACCTAGTTACGGGACCAGAGCCTGACAGTATGCCAGGGAAATCATCTACCTGCTTTGCATAACTAACGTAAAAACACTTATGCTAGTATAAACCCAACTGTCTGAAACTTCTGTAGGTGCAAAATGCTGACTGTGCTAACCAAGCACGTTCACAGTGAAGCAGATTTTTTAAAGGGTGTGACTACTTATGTGTGTACACATGGACAACATGCAGTGGGCCAAACTGTTCAGTCTGGGCTCTTTGGTTCACTAGTTTTATTGTTTAGGAAAACTTAACATCTCTGAAAGGAACAAAAGGTGAACTCTACACCTTACATGATTATCCTAGGAAGAATACACATCAAGTGTTTGCTACACAGCAAATATTCAGTAAAAACTAAGTACTATTATAAGTACTTTAGTTCTTCAATTGAGTCTGTGGAGTGTACAATTTAGGATATATGCTCAAGAATTTTATCTTATAAAACATATATTCCTAAAACATATTTTTAGCAGATTCATAAGTGAATATTTAAAATATACTACAAAAGATGGTCATCTAAAATAATGTTAAGTAAACTTTAAATGAAATATCAATATAATAATGTATCTGTTTCAAAAAATGAATTTTCCTGTATCGTATTTTCGTAGGTATATACTTTCATTAAAAAAATTCCTGGGGGCTGAGAAGGTGGCTCAGTGGTAGAGTGCTTGCCTCTCATGCATGAGGCCCTGGGTTCGATTCCTCAGCACTACATAAATAGAAAAAGCTGGAAGTGGCTTGTGGCTCAAGTGGTAGAGCACTAGCCTTGAGCTGAAGAGGTGAGGGACAGCACCCAGGCCCAGAGTTCAAGTCCCATGACTGACAGAAAAAACATTCGTTTCTTCAGTATGAACGGTTTAATTAACACAATGTGGGTGTATGTACCACATGGGATGCAGTGTGGCCTAGCTGAGAAGCTGGGGTCAGGTACCTGGCACCCTGGGCCATGTGCCCTAATGTGAAAGCAAAGGAAGGACCACATGATTCCAGTCATGCAGAAGCAGCAAAGGTTGGAGCCAGGGAAGACATTTCAAGGAAGAAAAGACATGAGGCTCTGTACCAGGAGATGCTGCCAGGGTCAGTGGATGGAGAACAGAGGGACAGCATCAGCAGACATCTCCAATAAGTTCCCAGTACTCAGTGCCAGCCACAAATGGGCTTCTAAAAGGAAAAGAAAGGAGGTGTGGAAGGCAAAGGGTCTGAGAATGCTAACTGAACCTAGAAGCAAAGAAGATCCACAACTAGGTAGATCTGGAGCCAGGACGGGTCCAGAACCAGGATGGATGGATCCAGAATTGGAGCACATCTGGAGTCTGTTGGATCTGGAACAAGGACATATTTTGGGTGAGATTGCTTGGAAAGTGGAGAATTTTACTGCATTGAGGAAAAAGGCACCTGGGCTATTTTTTTTGAATTGAACCAAGGGCATGTTGCAGGAAAAGAAGGGAAGGCAAGGTAAGATGGTCATAGTCTAGATGGGTGACACTGAAGTCAAGTCTGGGAGATAATGAGGAACTCATTTGCACACTGTCCTTTGGGATACCATCATATATAAGATCAAACTAGGACAACTACCTTGGCTTATGCCTCAAAGCCAACATCTTGCTGGGCACTGGTAGCTCATATCTAAAATCTTAGCTACTCAGGAGGCTGAGATGTGATGATCAAGGTTCAAAGCCAGCCCAGGCAGGAAAGTCTGTGAGACTCATCTCTAATTAACAAAAAGCCATACGTATGACTGTGGTTCAGGTGATAGAACACAAGCCTTGCACAAAAAAGAAAGCTAAAGGACAGTGCCAGGCTTTGAATTCAAGCCCCAGGACCAGCACATACACACAAAAAAATAAAAAAGCCTTTAGATGACTCCCCGAACGTCCGCTCCCCCTTCTTCTTGTTCCCCTGGCCTCCACCACATTGCTGTTACCCAAAGCAGGCACTGGGTAACACTTCAACCCCTAACTCTCCACCCCTGTCAGCAGGTGTTTCCTTGTATAATCCCAGTTACCAGCTACATGTCCTAGCCACAGCTCTTGGTTGTCACTTAGACCTTTTGTTTGACTAGAAAAGCGGTATTGGTTAATTCTAGGTAATTGTAAGGTATAGAAATAAGTACTGGGTTTTAAAAAAGGTACTGGGTGCTCATATTTATAATCCTAGCTACTCTGGAGGCTGAGATCTGAGGATCACAGTTTGGAGCCAGCCCAAGCAGGATTCCCCACCCCCTCCCTGGGGCTTGAACTCAGGCCCTAGGCACTGTCCCTGAGCTTCTTCTTTTGTTCAAGGCTAGCACTCTACAACAGCCACAGTGCCCCTTCCAGCTCTTTCTGTTTATGTGGTACTGAGGAATTGAATTCAGGACTTCATGCATGCTAGGCAAGCACTCTACCACAAAGCCACATTCCCAATCCCCATGAGACTCTTATCTCCAATTAAGGACTCCCAAAACAAGAAATGGAGTTGTGGCTCAAGTGGTATAGAGTGCTAGCTTTGAGCAAAGGAGCTCAGAGAGAGCACACAGGCCCTGAATCCAAGCCGTAGGCCTGGCATACACATACACATAGACATGGGTGTGCACGCATGCACACAAGTAAAGCCACAACCCACCTAAAATCTTGGGTTATAATCACCACTATTTTATCTCTTTAGTCTTTCACATCAGTATGAAAAGCAAAACACACTCAGCAAGCTGGAGTCATCCAACAACCCTAAAGCTTATTGTTCACAAATGTCCTCCTCAGTTCTCTGAAAACTCACTAATGGGAGTGAGATGCTATGGTGGAGCTTCAACTGAACTGCAAGTGCCACATCCCTATTGCTGCATTGTTCTTCCCTCCCTCCCTCTTTCTTTCTTTCTTTTCTTTTCTTTTCTTTGCCAGTCCTGAGGCTTGAACTCAGGGCCTGGGCACTGTCCCTGAGCTTCTTGTGCTCAAGGCTAGCGCTCTACCACTTGAGCCACAGCACCACTTCAGGCTTTTTTCTTTTTTTGCTTATGTGGTGCTGAGGCATCGAACCCAGGGCCTCATGCATGCTAGGCAAGCGCTCTACCACTGAGCCACCTTCCCAGCCCATTCTTTACTTTTTCTACCAAAAAAAAAAAGAAAAAAAAAGATGCCTCAGTGAGCATGCTTCTGTCTCAATCCTGCATTGCTTGCTTGTATTCTTGAGATATATTAGAGAAGAGAATGGACAATATTGAAAGATTCAGACACATTTTGCACCCTGCCCTCTGCCTAGCTACTCCCAGCATTTCACCATATTATTAGCAAACAGAAAACTGGTCTTCAGTCTCATGATTAAGCTTTCCTGACTGTCAAAGCATATGCTCTTGGTAAATTATGGAGATGTTCTGCTTCCTTTCCCAACTGCTAGGGAGTATCTACTCAATATTATCATCCTTATTTCTGCAACCATACCACAACTGATCAAAACCAAGTCCTGGGAACTGCTGTTGCAGTTAAGTCAGGTATCATGCATGCATACATGCATTCATTCCTCACTCTTTGTCCTACAAAATCCCTTAAGTTTTACTTATTAATTTAAAAACTAAATTTCAAAGACCTTTTATTTTTCTCTCTTCTAAGAGAATACTAACAAAGTGATTCATTAAGGTTTTCTTAATCAGGCTTATCATAACTGCTAATGAAATCACCATTCGTAAATACCAAACTCGGTTATTCTAAAGATTGGTATAAGGTAGGTTTTTGGGGGGGAGGGAGAAGGAATGGCATTTTTTAGTACATATACGACTAAAACTGATCTACAGTAAACAGACCCTCCTATCTCCAGTGTACTTACTTTGTAATGCTTTTGTTGTCTGGTTGCCATGGGAATAGCACATTCCCTATGGCGGCCCTGTAGCAGAAGACGCCCAACAGCCCAAGCGCCAGGGCAGCTTTGGACACAGTGGAACACCCCCTTTGGACCAACATGAAGATTGCAAGCAGGGAGAGGGCAGCCAGGCCTGAGAGCTGCACTTTGTGTTCAGAGCTGAAACAAGATGGATAATACCACAATTATGACAAAAAGGAATTATTGATATATGAATCTATACTGATTTTTCTAGAAAGCACAAAAGAAATGTAGATTAAAATTCACACAAAAGTTCTGAAAATGTCTTAAGTAAGACCATGGGGATCAAGTCTAACTTCTTACTCATGGGTGTATTCAGAAGCGGGGCAGCGCGGTACAACCAGTCCTGCCCCGGTAGCCCTCATCTGCACCCTGGCCTGTGCTGTTTTCTCACACACATATCAGCTTGCTTGGCTAGCCTCGACACAGTTCACCTTTCTACACTGACTCATGAGCTGTGATTTACTTTTCTATTTCTTCAGATCTCAAACACTATCCTATCCTTAATATGAAAACCAGGACTAAATGTAGAGAAAGAAAACCATTCAATCAAGAGAGTCCAGCCCCTGGTCCAAGGCTTGTGCTTACCTGGTGAGCCAGTGGCCAAAATCAGGCCGGTGGGCCCCCTGCACACCCGTCTGGTTCAGGGACCGCAGCAACCGGCAGCAGATCAGCACCAGCCAGGGGCTTGCCAGCACTGCCCACTGCTTGTGGCCTCTCCGTGTTTTGGGCTGGGAGGGCCCCTCGCCCTCGCTGACAGGCTCAGCACCCTCATCACCCATGCTCTCCCGCAGCGTGACAATGGCACCCTCAGGATGTCGCTCCACGTGGAAGGCACGCGGAGGCTCGCAGCTGTCCCCCAGAAAGTAGCTCCGACACGTTTCCTGGCTCAGAGCCAGACACAAGGTGTTGACAAGGAAGTACCAGGTCTGGTGCTCCTCTTCCACAAAGCTGCTGGCTCCCAGACTCAGGACATGCCCCACTGTGCCCAGCAGAAGAAGGTGGTCTACCTCTGACCATCCAGAGCTGGGGTGAGCTACATTCTGTAAGAGGAAATACTGTATGAGAAACAACCTGAAAAGGACACACATCTCCCTACATGTGCTGACTTCCAAAGACAGCATTCCTCATGCCCAGTGTCCACTGCCTACTCTGAAGAGCCTCCTGCCTTGGAGACATGGTTCTTCTTCCCATAGCACAGACTGGGGGAGTCTGCCAGCCAGGGGCCATGGAGATCGTATCTGTCAGTGGCCCTTACCCTGGACTGCAAGTTGAGAACTCAGAAGCAGAGAATGAAAGTGGTTAGGCCCTTAGGTCAGTGGTGGAGCCCAAGAACTAGACCAGCTTTCATGCCCCTTTCCATGACAGCTCCTTTTCCCTTGAAATGTTCGGTATCCACTACAATGGTCACTTCTGTTGAAACAACACAGGTGGCACCACAGTACCATTCCTTAAACTGTGTTATGGCTTGAATATGGAATGTCCCACCAAAACACACATGAAGTTCTAGTTACCAGCTTATGGTAATACTGACAGGTAAGTGGATCAAGATGGCACTAACCAGTCCTGGGTCTTGAATTCAAGGTCTGGGTGCTGTCCCTGAGCTTTTTGTTTTTTGTTGGTGTTGTTCTCAAGGCTAGCACTCTATCACTTGAGTTATAGCTCCATTCTGGCTTTTTGGTGATTAGTTGGAGATACGGGTCTTGAGTTTGTCTGCCTGGGCAGACCTTGAACTATGATCCTCAGACCTCAGCCTGCTCAGTACCTAGGATCACAAGTATGAGCCACTGATGCTCAGCTGGCACTATACTCTCCACTAATGGATCAATCCATACATGTGTTCAAAACTGAATGGGCTATTAGTAGATAGGGCCTAGCTAGAGAGTCACTAGGCTTATGCCTTGAAGAGTCTATCTTGTCCCTGGGTCTTTCTGTTTCCTTGCTACCATGAGTAGAACAGAGCTCCGTTGAGAAGCCTTTCCAGCCACTATGATGTTTCTGCCTTGCCACAGGCTCAGAGGGATACAACCAACTGACAATGGACTTAACACTTCTGAAACACTGAGCTAAAATAAATTCTTTCTCCCTTAAGGTGCTTACTCACAGAGACAATGGTGAATTATTAACTTAACACCATTCAAGATGAGATTGCTGTCGTTTATTTTTCTGTTAACTATTTATTGTGTGCAGCAAGGCACCCAGAAACAGCATGATCCTGGGTAGGTCCTAGAGATGCAAATGAGGACCAAGAAACTTCTTGGCACTATGGCCACAGTGAGTGCTAGGACCTGAACTCGCAGCAGAGGGCCTCGACAGGTCCTACCATGAGCAGGAGCACAGGTGCCGCGTGGGTGCATGTTGGCATCACTGTACAGGGTTCCCCAAGAAAGGCTCTGGGCATTGTGGACCAGAGCTCATTTTACTGTGACCACCTATCTCTCTCTTTCTCCCTCTCTCTCTTTTTTTTTTTTTTGGGTCCGGTCATGGGGCCTGAACTCTGG